AACTTCCAAACGTTTAACCAACAACTTAAAACATATCGAAGTACAATGAATTCAGTAATCAGTATTTCATTTTTTGTAAAGGTGAAGTCGATTGATTCAACACGTTGTCACAGATGACCAAAATAAATAACATCTGAAGAATGAAGAGGGCGATTTTTCGTGGAACAAAAGAATTCTGTGAATTTTGTTTGTTTGAAATGCACCCAGGATTGATGGACTAAATGTTATAAGAAAAATTGAAGTGTAAGAGAATAAAAATGAATAAACAAAGGGAGTGGACAGATTTCCATAATATCCACAATTATTGCTAAACTTTCTTCAATGCTTTCTTCTTTTTATCTTGGATAGCCTGCAAATGTTGTCAATTCATACATTTCATTGATTTAATTAAAGGATATCCGAGTGAGGATAGCAGTGAGCTAAATGGAACTGGCAGAAACCTATTTCGCATTATCTGATCATTCCCACAGAATCTATCTTGGCAAAAACCTTACTGATTCGCAGCATGTTAATGAACAGTGGGGCTTTAGCGATACCTTTCTTGGACGCAGTCGACATCGCAGCATGCTGGTCATGAGAGATATCAAACCAGTACATAATTGACTGTGATTGTAGTGTCGCATACAGATATTATCAAATATTGCGAGAAAAACGAAAAGAAAAGTTACCATCCAGACTTCAGGGTCACGAGAAAAAGTGCAGGCAATAACGACAAGGAAAAATTGTACTTTACCTGATAGTAACCAGTATGATAACCAGTCATGTACCACGACATTAGCATACTTGCCAATGCTTCGTCATCATCCGGTGATGGTAAATTAGTAAAAGCTATCGGTGGAGGTGGAACTAATGACGGAATCTGAAAGAGAATTTTCTCCTTTTTATCAAATTTAATGATAATAACTAAAAAATATTGTTAGCAGAAACACTTTCTCCAGCTCCATTTATTAAGTTTGAATTATACAGTGCATTATTATTAGAAGGTTGTAAGAACTTAACATACTCTTGATTCCTCTGAAGCGAGGAAAAACGAAGAGGGAAACATACCGTATGTTGATTGGATTTGGAAGTATGTGGATCTGTAGATGATGACTGCATATAATTGAAATTCTTCGTCGACGTCTGCATATGATTTATCTGTAACACTTTTTCCTCGGTGTCGAATGTTTCCTGGGTGGTATTTCCTTCCGACGTACCTTCCTCGTCATTCTCCATCGGCCTGATCAGTTCGAAACATTAAAGAACGAATATAAAAATGGAATAGTGGTACGATAAAAATAAAGAATAAAAAATAAAAAACTCACTGGATTTTCCAAGTTGACAGATGAACTAGAACCGAGAAAATGAGAAACTTCCGCGTATATCTAATAAGTGAAAAAATTCGTTTAAAAGCTCGCAATGAATTAATACGATTTCGGAGCTAGAAAGAAAAAATAGCTTTGTAGTACCATCTAGAAATCTTATATAACTACTGCAGTATTTGCCGCACTGGCAATGTTAACTGGACGAGCTACAGACTATTAGCTACCTATTTGTCGAGTGAGATTAGACGGAACAGTGGCCAATAACAACAAAGTTTTTTACTGTCCATATTCAATTTTGATGCAAATCATTGGGACAACCTTTTCAGATAATTTTCGTAAAGTAACAAATAGGCGGTAATAATTTGATATTATCTGTGCACCTCATAAAAGCTCACTTCTGATGTCTGAGATTATCCAATACACGCATCAGGTAGGCAGTTTGTGGTAAATCAAGCGCAACGCTTCTTTGAAAAGCAGGAGTATTCGAAAATAAAGTAAATATCTGCTGATGCTTTCGCCGTTTCCTGTCTCCATACTCCATGCGCATAACATTTGTCCTTTCGGAGCGACACCTTTTAATTTTACGCTTACGACATTGTTGCCGTTGTTTTTGCCGCTGGCCATTACCGAAATTTGTCGGACGTATAGCAAAACGTGAAAAACTAAGCCAGCCGTGCCGGCGCCCCATATATGGCACTGATGACTTCGTATGCAACCTCCTACGAGTATGATAACGTTGAAAACGCTCTACGAATTAACATTTTCTATTGAGTATTTTTTTTTTTTAAATCTGATACTTCAACAGTTACCGAGAAACGAATATGTGCGCATTTTAATGTCACTCGAAAATGTTTCGATGACAATAACCACGAAATAGAGTAACGAAAAGAAATTGAGATATCTAAACACTATCCACTTAACGCTAATTTGCCACATTTTTAAATATTTCAAGTAAAAGGCACCTTGACCATACTAATATATTTTTCTTTAAACTTATTATGCCGAAAATTTGGCAACAAACATTACAGAAATTTATCTGAAATTCTCACAGCAAATCGACGATTTGTATATTCCAACACCATGAAGTCCTAAATATGCACTATGGGGGTAACCAATCACCTTGGTGATCACCGAGGACTGTAAACAAAGCTTTGCACAGCAGCAACAATACCCTTTTCACAGAAAAAGAAGCGTTTATTGCAGTTTGAAACAAATCAGGTCACCATGACCACTGGCTCCACCACGAAGATATTATTTAACAAATAGTAAAACTAGTCGTTTTCAGAAACCCTCTTCCCATCTATCTCGAAAATTTTATTTCTGAGAGTCTCAAGGTTCCAACCTTATTTCGTTCTAATATGACTTCTCGTGGAATTTTCTTTTTTTTTTGAAATAAGTATGTGTGATTATTATACGATTCATTAAGATTGAAAGTTCGTATTTTCCATTTCTTTTTGCCAAATAAGAGAGAAGTATTCCCACCATGACAAAATGTAGAAGAAAGCCGCTAGCCGTTTGCTTAGTAATACAACATTTCGGGCATATCTTACCCAAAATTTTAATGACAGTAGTATGATAGTAATTTTCTGGTTTCTCAATCATCTGTCAACATGAGGACATATACAGTAAAGAACACATATAAACATAATCTTTTAAAATAATTAAAATTTCACAACCAGATTGCAAGCACTTCGCCAGTCAAATGACAGTGTTAGAAATCAAAACCAAAAGAAAAATTTTAGTGGGGAAATACTGTCTTCTTGGATTATAAAAAATCTTGTACAAATACTCCTATATTTATCACTCTTCTCAACCACGAATTTAAACAACGTGAAATAGTTCACTTACTTCGTGAGATCCGCAATACTAACACGTGCTAACTCATCGTAAACATCGTAAAGCACGTCACATTTACCGTCATCCAAATCGAGCTTTTTAACAACCGCTGGATACCATAGCTGGTCATTATAATAAGGCGCCATACAATGGTCACCAACATGCCACTAAAAAAAAGGAAAACAAAATAAAATTATTTTAATACTTGAACTACACTACATGAAATTTTATTCAAACAACAAACAGGAGGTACTATTTGTTGCATAAATAAAATTTCTGGAATAACCTTTTTTGACAAACAAAAACTTCAATACTCCTTTCTCCGCATTGTCTTTAATTCAATGGATGATTATATGACGCAAAACTGCAACATATCATATCAAGATGCAGCATATCAGAAATGAAGAGATACAAAAAATCCAGATATTTTTTTTCCTCTCTGTCCACCCTGTCCTTTTTTTCAATCTAATCCTTGAGATAGCCCGTATAAACAATAAGATTGAAATTTGCGGGAGTAATTGAAATTAAATACATCCAGCTACATTTTATATATTCATAACCAACTAAAACTGAAACGGAAATTAGGCGATAACAATAGTGGAATAGATGGACCTTTATTTTTGAAGCCTTGCGAAATTTTTTCTTTTTTTTTGTTGCCGAAGCACACTGCGCACCAAGAGAATCCTGAAATTTGCTTACTTACAGTTTGGTAGTTTTGGAAGGTAACAAGTCAGGACGAGTCGCAAACAAAGACAGCTATACTGTAATAACTTTCGAGACTTCATGATGACGCATTATGTAACGTAATTAGCACATAATACTTCTATGAAATATACTTCTGCTATGACAGTTCAATGGACATCCATTTAAAATTGCTGCAAGTATATTGTGTAACACGCACTGAGTTTCATGACATATGCATGATTTGTTTGGCTTTCTAAAACAAATTAGATGCACCGAAATATTAGAAAAGGAATAAAACTGGGAACTAACATAAGTTCGGTTGATTATTTCATCATACATATTAATCAGCGCGCTGTCATCCCAGACATCTTCATTTTCTGTATCTTCAAGGTCTGCCTGCAAAAAGAAAGCACCTTAGATAAAAAAAAAATATAATAACAGCTTCTCTTCCATACTTCTGGAATTTTTCAGAATGCGCTATTACAACAAGGATGTAATAAATTTTGACTAAGAGACTTGAATTTAATGGAAATAGAAACTAGTTATTAAATCCAAATCTAGCATAACTCATCACACCCATGATAAGCGAAATTATTTCTTTGAGAATAAACCTTTCTATAAATTATATTGCCGTTGTTTGGGCCATCGAAACCCATCCTATTTCCGGTAATTCAAGCAATAAACACCTTCGGTACCGGAAGTAATCTCTGCAAAAAATTAACTGCCTAGCATCACCTGGACAAACTCCAACAACCACTCACAGTCCTTCACAATAACGAAGCTAAAACGACACCGCAGGTCATCCCGGTAGTTTTTAATTTCAAAATAGTATCACTAATACACTGTGTTCCTTAAGAAATTTGTCAAAGAAAAAAAAGAACTTCAATCGTTACGCGAAAGACCGAGGTTAAAATACGAAATCTTCATCAGAATCCCAATAATTATTCCCTTATTAGATTCATTTCAAACTGTATCCAAAAAAAGCCACCAACGAAAAGTAAAAATAAAGGTAGCAGAGATGGATGTAACCACTCGTTTTCTCGAAGAAGAAAGTTAGCACTGCAAACTTTATCAATGAATAATCATATGTAAACAGATAGCATACGAACTTAACAAGTTTACGACATTCTAATCATTGATGGCATTGATATCTAACATATTCCGAATAACAAAGCAATAAACAGCAAAGTAACAATATGACAGTTAATGAACAACGACTGCAATCATGCGATAAAGACAGATTTCAGCATTAAAAGAAGAGATATGTCATCTATTTGTATTTCTAAAAGGCTCGTGGAGCACGGTTTATTCCGAATTTCCGAATAATTATTCCATGTTATTTCTCCACGATAAGTTATAATAATAATTATTCCACAACAGTTAATCCAGACCATTCCACAATATTCTCGACTGTCGCCAATACTAAGATTAGAAAAAGTTAACGACCCAATTTCGTACTGTTATAATTTCATTCCTTTCTGACGTATAAAAAAAGAAAAGAGTCTGAAATTTAATTATTCGCACTGAGAATAGTGTTCTGTGACTGTGGTGCACATGTCTCAAAAGTTCTAATCTAGTCGATGAATGCGAACTGTTGCAGTATGACTACTTAAAATTAGCAAGCGAAAGGATCATCGCGAAACAAAGAGATGAGTTGAAAAGGCACCATAATTGGTAGTATACTACAGTTACAGGATGCCACAGGATGCTCCCGGTTTACACGATCAGTCAGAAACGTCTAAAAATTGAAGAAACGAACTATAAAATATAAGAATGTAAAGAAATGAAAATTTATGCTTTCATTTTTCAGGCTTACAAATTGTTGCTGAAAATAAAAGTTCCTACCTACCTTTAAACAAAATTAGTGTTCCGACACATTTTCCTTACTCATAGAATAAGTAAGAACAGCGTAAAATCCAGTCCAAATAGCGTATGGAAGCAGAAGCTGACCGGCTGTTTTATCAATCTGAAATTGAAATAAATTAGAAAATCAATGATAAACAACAACGGTTCGAATCAGCATTGCAAAAGTAAACGTGTAATGAAGTAAAATTAAAAGATCAGCAATTTCTGGACCATTCCTTGGGACGTATATATAAGTAGGCATGAAATAAGAAATGCCCAATCTCTTATTTAATTAGCTTTACTTTCCTTTTGGAAAGAAAATAAATTGTGCACTCAATATTTGAGAAATTTGGAATTTTCTTGAAATCAAAAATTTTTCCTTATTTTATTGAAATACAGGAACTAGGATGGCCATGGATTAATAGATTATAATTTAATGAAGATTCAAAAACTGTACAAGTGAATCAAGTAAGCAAAGAAAAAAATTAAAGTAAAACCTTGTAAAACGCGAACGCTGCGCCAATTGCTGCTGCATTCAAAAGTACTGTGTTTCGAAACAACTTAATAAAGGATTAAATTTAATTGAGCTTGAAGTGAATCTGATGCTAGCTCTAACTTTTAAAAAAAAAAGACTTTGTCTCTCAAAGAAATCGCAACAAGGAAATATGTAAGCAGAAATTACTTACAGAAGTAAAACTTCTCTTCTTGATCAAAGGAATTGTTGTGAGAGCAAAAACCATGTTTAATCCATACAATCCAAGGGCAACCTTCGTGTCACTGTACTGTAAACCTGCAAAAGATATAAAACAGAACTTACAGTGCCAGCGAAACCAAGACCATACTCTTATGTCCCAATCCTATACTTCTAGGAACTTGCGGCCGTTTGCAGTATTCTATGTTGGTTCTTAAAAAATATCGTTTAATCTAAATGGAACGAAATATAAGATGGCCAAAGAATGTATGACACATTTAACATCTCTATCCTTGCAAACGGGGTAAGATGTGTAACAAAAAAATTGCAGGATTCTTTTTTCTTCAACTTCATATTTGCTCTTGGACGATTTTCTGCAACCATAAATTTGGGTAATCAAAAAGCTGAGCTCATTTCATAGTTTCTCATTTTTCCACTGCACCCCTTACTACACTGCAAGATTTAGTCAGAAAAACAGGAAAATGATGCCCCGGGTGACGCTAATTGAACGATCTGAGAGAAAAAACTGAAGTTAAAATGAAAAAGACATATGGTATACTTACCACCTCCGTTCTTATAAACAAGGTAAGATGCATAGCCCAAAGGGCTAAGTGTTGCAATATCACAAACGGAATATACCAATGGATTCTTTGGAGCCCAATCTGGCTTTTTTGCATGCTGAAAAATACTTCAATACGAAATATATTGGAATGAACAGCAACCGCATTAGTATAATTATTAAACCTAAACCACGAGGACCAATTCCTTGAAGAAAATGTGGACTTAATCAAAACTTAATTTTTTTTTTTTTTCACTGAAACAAGAGCAAAATGAAAAAAGAAAGAATCCAAATGTTAAATATCTGGTAGCAATGATAAATTTGTTGAATAAACATATAAATTCAAAAAACAAAATAACAAAAACGACACTTACTGTCCACCAATCTACAACGCTGCGATCGTTTGCAAAAACAGCAAATGCAGTAAAAGCAGTGGCACCAGGTATCAGGCTAGCCAGAATAGCATTTCTAGTATCTTCTGATGTCCAAATTGGTTCCATTCCGAAACGTCTCATTTTCAATCAAACAATACCTCAACAAAAAAAGGCAAATTTCAACCATATCATAATAATGAAACAAACATTAAAAGATGATCATTGATAACATAAGTAAACAATACAAGAATTAATTAAGTAAGTTAATATATTCCAGTAAATTATCAATCCTGTACAAGAAAAATTTAAGGAGAACAAAAATTCCCATCCTAAAATTTCTTTATTTCTTTTTTTTTAATGCAACAATGAAGTGAATATCTCAAAATTGTAGCAATAACCACTAGAATTGTGTGAAAGATCTGAACAGAATGCCTTTCGACAACTGTCGTCAAAAAATTCCGTATCCGGAAAATACCACGTCACATCGTCAACCACCCCATTGTATAATTCCGCTGAACTCTCCCCCCCTCCCTCCCGATCCTATATCCTTGTTTTTCCGGCTTCTTAAAATGTTCACAGCATTGATTAGCTTTTCTCTATCTCTCTTTTTGCTTTCTCTATCCCTCTCTTTTCGTGAAACTCCTTTCACGTCTTTTCCTCTATTCCTTTTTGTTAATAATCTCTTCCATTTCTTTCAATTCCTAATCCTCTCTCCATTCTTCTTTTTATACTCTATCCTCTCGTTTTCCCACTCATTATCCTTTCTCTCTCTCTCTTCTTTTAAAATTCTATTTCTTCGTCTTCACTCAAATATTTGCATTAACAAATTTCTCGCAGTGCAAAAGTTATCGATCTTATCGAGATGAGGAAATGATGTTCCTTATGCAAATATTATGTTTAGCTTAGAACGATAAATGAAAGCTCAGATGTTCGTGGAAATTGCATACAAATAGCATATCTTCTAAATTTTCACATCTAAATTTACTATTATTATTCACACAAATCGACAAAACCAATTAATACTAGGCAATACCATTAAAAAGTCATCAGGCATTATCAATTTATAGGGAATTTGTTGGTTAGGGATTGAAATTGAGAAAACTAATGCGAAGGAATTGAGATATTAGCGCTATTAATTTTTAATTCACTTTCAAATATACAAATGGTATTACTACCAATAAATAAAAGGAAGCCAAGGAATAATATGTCGGGAATTACATTAAGGAAAGCGGTAGAGTTGTATTTCTTTTGAAAGGTGAGAAGTTCTGACGTCAGCAAGTAAGAAACCACTTCCAATAATCAACCTTCATTTGTGGGAAAGAAATTTTCGCAAAGGCATTTCCGTATAGCCATGTACCATACTTTCTTGAAGTGGTTAGTTTGTTTGGATATGGAGTCGCAACGAAAACTGCATCCCTTTATTAGAAAAGCTACTGGTGCTTTTGTTCAACCCGTTTTTGTGGTGTTCTGAATCGATAGGATATTTATATGATCTATGTGTTTAGATTAGCACCAAATAATTTTCAATGATATATGGAACAACATTTGTAACGCAATTATAGCATTCACTGATTCTACGGAAAAGTCCGAAGGAATTGATTGTCTATATGAAAATATTGACAAGGCGATGTTTCCATCACAACTAAGCAGAAAACAGGATTTCAATAAAAAAGGACAATTTCTTATTAAATGCAAAATGATTGGAAGCAACGCTTGATTATTCACAATTTGTGTAACTTATCTTGTCAGGAATTCCCGAATAACTAGATGTTCTCCTTGCAAATCAAATTTGAATATCTGTTGAAAAGTTATTTGGTAAAGAAGAAAGAAGAGAGGAAGGAATAATAAAAGGAAGTGCTAGAAGCAACATTTGAAAGGTACGATATTCACTTTATCTCTTATCACTTATATTTCGTTTCACTTCATCGCATATGCAAGCAGTGTATAATATCCGGTCCATACAGTGTATGGTATTGTAAGTATACAAGCTTTGTTATCAATCTGAAAGAAGAAAATGATGCATCAGTCTCTGCCGGATGACGAAATAGTTAGTCAATCAACCGTAATTAATATTAAATCAATTTGTTCATTATGGTTATCGTTTTCCATATGATATTACGCAAAAGAATCCAATTATTGATAAATTTTTTGTCCACCAATTAGGTAAGTTATGGTTGATTAAAATTATTGAACTCATGATTAAAATTTTCTTTTGAAGACTTTCGAAAGAAATAGAAAATATCTTCCTATGCCTTAGCTATTCTCGCTGAAATAAGAAATTTCACTAAATATTGTTTTCAAATAATTCCTTTTCCTTTTTTAAATAAACAAACCTTATGAAATGTATAAGTTGTCCCAAGTGTTGCTAAATACATTAAAAGAGTATGAGTGAATTGCTGAAATGATGTAATTATTAATACTATTTTTATGATTATTTACTTCTCTATAAATTAAGTTTCGTTTTACAAATTTCGAATTGACAAATTATTCAAGCTAACAAATTTTAATTAACAAGTCTCTCCCTAGGGATATAACAATAAAGTGAAATTATCATCACTTACAGAAGAACGATTTTTCGCTTTTGTGAAAGGAAGCGAAAATAATGAGAACAGTAAAGTGATCCCATAAAGTCCTAATGCGATTTTTGTATCATTGTACATGAAGCCTATAGAAGTAAAATATTTGCTTGCAAGGAATGAATGTAATAAATTTAATAAATGAATATAGTAAATAAATTTAATTTAAAATATCGGTAAATATATGATGGTTCAGTGATTCACTTGCGCAATAGACTACCGATACGTATTAAGGATTCCTTTCTCTTTCTGTATTTACTTGCACAATTATTAAATTAAATCCTCAATGCATCGGTCGCAAAATTATTATTTTGTTTGGATAGTTTTACATTAAAAAAAGCTTAAAATTTTTTAATAAAACGAAACCTACACTTTTGAACTTTGCAATAACTGTAAATTACGCATAAATCAAAAGTTTACGAAAAAATTGCAAATGCGGAATAGATTTGTCATAAATGAATTCTTACGATTATATGATTACTGCTAACCTCCACCGTATTTATAGATACGATAAGAAGCATAGCCAAGTGGTAGCATCGTTAAAATATCCAATAATCCATAAATATATTGCTCCTTTGCTACCTGTAACGGTAATCGTACTGTTCAAATTTCACTCCCTTTTTCCTTTTTTATCAAATAGATGAAAATTTGTATGAAGCTTTTAAAATTTCAGACAAATTGATGCAATTTATCGATTGATTAGTTGATTAATTTCCAAAAACTTCTGTTCAGGTACTTTTCTTTGATGGAAATTTTTTTAATTCTTGAAAAAGACAAATTTGAACTTTTTAACCCAAAGTAACAAAGTTGATCATTTACTTCCCAATTTTTTGTCAAACACTGATTATTTGAAACAGACAAGAATGAATTTAATGATATAGCACATGGTACTAGTGACCAGGCTATGGAATATTTCGTATCATTTGTTGTCCAAATTACTTCCGATCCAAGACGTTTTACATGTCGTATGAAATCTGCAACTTATTAAGCTAAATATTATATCATTATTATCTTTCACTTATTGATTTTTCATTTTTTTTAAATAGTAAGATGAAAGTTTAATGTAATTGAAGAAATAATTTAACTCAAAAACTAAATTATCAGAGAAAACAATTATTGAAACCAATATATTATGATAGATGAAATGTAGAAAAATTGTAAGAAATATGAATCTTTTGCAAAACTCATAATAAATTCTGTTTCAAAGAATTGTTTTCGAACTTAATACTTTTAAATTACTTTTAACCTTTGACCTATAAAATATATGAAGGATGAGGTGAAAAAGAAGAAAACGTACCGTGATGTATATACATTTCTAGTTGATCAGTTGAAATGGAAGAAAACGGTGAAGTAATTCAATTCGCTTAGCATTTAAAAAAATAACAAAGAAATGCGACACTTTATAAATTGTACTTTTCAAACTTTAACGTTTTAAATATATTGAGTGATTGTACTCAAATTCTGATCAAATTTAATTCCAGAATTTTTTAGAAAGATAATGAAAAATCCCCGAATAATCCAGAATTAATTCAAATTCAAAAAAAAAGAGAAACTTTTTTTAAATTTTATTTTTTATTTCGAAAAGAAAAAAAAATGTTTCGGAGAATATCATAATATCTAAGGCAATAATTAATTAGTACTATCTTCTTTTAGTATATGATTAATTGTATTCAATTTCTGATTAAATTTAATTCCAAGACTTTATTTGCAAATTTTTATTCCGGCATGTAATGTATTACAAGCATATGCAATTTACAGTGATTAGCTTCAAAAAAAGTAAACGCTTCAAATTTGCAATTATTTAATTTCAATTACTAATTAAAATCGGTCGAAAGGTTTGATTTAAATCTATTGTCTAAACAAATATCAATTAACAGGGATTGTAAAATGTAAATAGCATAATAAAATAAATAGTATTAGTTGTAAATATTAATTTTTGATTTCTGAATTCAGATTTTTCATCACATACAGCGTGAACGTATAAAAACCAGTCCACAGTACGTATGGTACCATCAATAGACCAGTGCAACGATTAATCTTAAAAATTTTAAATTCATATTTTTAAAGAGGAAATTGCAATAATAATTGTGAGAATATTTACGCAAAAATTCCAACATTAAATTTCATTAATATATTCGTATTCATATTGTTGAATGAAAAATCACAACAAAAACAAATAGTAAATACAATTCATCGGGTATTTTAGAATAATAATAATGATAGATATGAAAAGTTTAGGCATAAAAAAGTATAAGATTTTATAACAAAATGAGTGAGGAAATAAACAATTAGTCAAATGAATAAATAAACCAATAAATAAATAACTAAATGAACAAATAAATGAATAAATAAATAAATGAACTAATACAAAGATTAAAAAAATAAACAAATAAAGATAAATAGGTAAATAAGTAAATAAACAAACAAACCTTATAGGCGATAATAGCTGATCCAGTTGCCGTTAGATGAACAGCAATTGAAAAGTAATACACCTAAAATAAATTAATTATAATGAAGAAAAAATAATTAATTGTCTTCTACAGAAAAGACTTTTTTTTTGGTTCAAAATTATGTTTTTATCTTCAAAGTTTTGAAATTTTCATCTCTTTCCGGATTTTTCTTTCAAACATTGGAAATTTCAAAAGTCTTTTTTTTTAAAAAAAAATTTGCATATGTATGTCATTAAATAAAAGTTAACAGCATTTCTTACAGCTTTTATATCTTTCTTTTTCATAAATGATAATGATGCAGAGCATAACATCAAATTACTACCATATAAACCAAGTGATAGTGCTGTTAGCGCATTATTCAAACCTACAAACATTCGACATCATTCCCGCGTTATCCCGGGATTTTTGCGCATTCAATTCATTCCATTTTAATAATAATTCTTTGAAAAAAAATAGAAAAAATTAAGTTGATAAATTGAGTTTGAAATTAAACATAACAAAACAATTTAAATTGAATTATAATATTTTAATAAAATTTTTATAGAATAAAAAAGAGAAAAAACATTGTTTCGAATTGAAATACAACTAAACAAAGTGATAAAATTAATTTAAATTAAATTAAATAAGTAACATACCACCACCATATTTATAAATAAAATAACTCGCATAACCAACTGGTGTAATTGTTAATGCATCCATGCATGCATAGGTATACAATGATTTTGGTGCCCAATCCGGTTTTTTGCAAGACTGCAAAATAACTTATTAAATTATTCCATAAAATTATTGCAATTAAGCAATTTAATTTCATAATAAAATTTTGTGAAGAAAGTAGAACAAATTTAAATTTAAAATATTTATTAATACTATAAGGCAAAAAAAGTGTATTATTAATTATTAAATTACGACAATTTTAATAAATTTTCTTAAAATTTCCAAATTTCTTTCAAAAAAAAACAAAATATGAAAAATTTTACATTCCACCATTCAATAAAATTGCTTGATTTTGAATATGGTATAGAACTAATAAGTCCAACAGCGCCCGGTACCAATGCTGTTAGAATGGCGCGTTTCATATCTTTTGTTGTTCATGAAAAATCATAATATTATAATATCATTACCTTAATATTAATTATAACAATTCCGTAAGTACTCAGTATTAAATTTCAGAAAAAATTCAAATTGTTCATTTTAGAAATTTATTTAAACCATTTAAATCATTTGTATTAAATTTTAGAAAAAATTCAAATCATTTCCTTGGAATTAATATTATATTATAGGATTAATTAAATTCAAAAATTGATTAAGTACTAACAATTATTGCTAAAAAATTTTTCGCTAGTTATATACTTTATAATTTACCGAAAAATTAATTTTTTAACATGCTTATGTCACTCCATTTTTTATGGAAAGGTGATAACGATTATCATATTTGATTTTATGGAAAGGTGATAACGATTATCATATTTGATTATATAATATAAATTAAAATAGCTTATGTAAAAAATCAATAACTGTTTAGAGATAAGATAATAATTGTTAAAATTCCTTTAATTATTTGCATTTAACTTTAAAATTTATCAAATTTTAATACATATCTATTTATCAATCAATCTATATTTACCTATGTAATTTATTAATTAATCTATTTATATCGTTGTAAAACTTACCATGATAACCGCTATCATGATAACCGTACATTTTGCTTGGTTTGTTGAAAATAATTTAGTTGAAGAAGAACTTTCACATGACACTAATAAAAGTATAACATTAGGAGGAGAAGAGAAAAGAAAAGCAGTATGACGTAATTTTCATTCGTAAACATTATCGATTTCAGGGAATGTAACTTTTCAAAAAAAAGGAAATAAAGAAAAAACAAAAAATTTTTTTTTAAAATGATTTTTCGAAAAATAAAAACTTTTCGTTCTTTGTTCTTTGATAATTTAAAATTTTGTTAAAAGAGTTATTGATTGGCACTGTATTTTTTATAGCAATATAATGGAATTATTTTTGCATAATTTCTTGATAGAAATACTGATAAAAAGTTGAATGAATTAGCATAAGGATATCCCGATAATATTTCCCGGGAATATCGGGAAATATATGTGTGAAAATTACACCGAAATATTACAATAAACATAGGGGAAGTTAATGGGAAAAAAATCTTTTTATGAAATTGCAAGAAAATTTGATTAGTTGATGGTTGATTTATTTAAACTTTTTAAATTGTTATTCTTGAACAATAAAATTACCCATTTCCGCATTTGTGGATAGCAACAATTTGAGTAACTGTGAATGACAACGATTTGGGTAACTGTGAATAACAATTGGGGTAACTATGGATAACAACAATTTGGGTAACTGTAGGTAGCAACATTATTGTTGCATAGTTTAGGAATGCATAAATGATAAAATATATGGAAAATTCTGATCGGAAATTATGAAATAAAAGGTATAAAATATAAAATTAAAATTTCAATACTAAAAAAGTTTTACCAACGCTTCAAATCTTTTATTCAAACAAATAATTGACAACAAAATGGTTTTGTCTGTTATGCAATATAAAATGATAAATAATTATTTATTACTTATTAAAATCAATTTTCTATCTTTCTATTTAGCTTTTCTTTGCGCTCGAGAATAGCGTATTATTCATATTGATAAAGCTATAAAAATATGATATAAATCAAATGCTATTAACATTTGCATATTCTGGGAATCAAAGAATTCCCGTTGTGTCGCGGATAATTACACTTCTTTTAGTTACTTTTAAACTCTATGAAAACGATTTGTATGTTGGTTTATTACACTATCAAATTTAAGCGTGTACGAAAATTTTTAAGTGCACATTCCTTAATATATGCATGCAAAATGCATGAAATGCATTCAAAGCGCGTCTATGCATCTGCATGCGTGCGTGCGTGCGATTTAGACATTACGATTTAGATTTACGTGATTTTTCTCCAAAATAATTTTTGTCAAATTTCTTTTTTCCGAAAATTTTAAATTGCAAATCATTATACTTTACTACACATTGCTATGTAAATACTACAAATGAATGCAAGGGAAAACAAATTTGGAACTTTTAATTTAAAATCAAATTTGGAACTGATTTCTTTTCTCTTAATTTCATTAATTCAGAGTAGGCTTTGCTTTGGCGAAAAATCCATTGGCCAAATCGTTTCTTAATTATCATTTGGGGTCAAATTTGATATTTTATTTTTTATTCTTTGGTCATTCCAGACCAAATTATTTGGCCATCAAATAAGAATGAGAAGAAAAAACAAAAATATTTTGTGAATAGGTATTTTTGATAACAAATCATAAATCAAGTTATTATTTGTTGCATTTTATTGTAACTACACAAAAACCGGAATAACGATTAACAATTTGAAAACCGGAAAAGCAATCAAAATATTATGCATTTTTTCGCAAAGTGACCAAAAAAGACGTAGAACTTTGGGCAAAAAATGAATTAAAACTTGAAAATGAATAAATTCCTAAGTATCTTTTAGAAATCAAGCATTTGGATATCGAAAATTAGCCTACAAAAGAATGAAAGTGATAGCAAATAAAATTAAAACCAAAAATGTTTCAAATCCAAATTCTCCTCCAAAATACTTTTCAAATGAATGTAGGAATAATAGATATGCATATTTACATATTTATGAACTGGATAATCATGATTAAGCAATTATAAGTATTTATTGATGGACATTTTAGATTCCTCATTTCTTGCTTTTTTTTTTCGTTTCTTTTCATTAAAGTAACTTTTATTACATATATTAAAAAAATAAAAAATTACAAAATAAAAATGAGATAAGATTGGAAAAGAAACAACGTACATAAAAGATAAAATTGTCAAAAAGAGCAAATTTGAAAAGAAAAAGATTAGAGTTTAAAATTTAATCAATTTCAAATAATTTTCAAAGATTAAACAAAAAAATGAAACAAAATATTAGCTATTTAAAATATGCTTTGAAAAAAAAGTACAGAAAAAAGAAAAACATTCAGAAACTTTGGAAAGAAAAAATTGTTAAATGAAATAAGGACAAAGAATGTAATAAATTGCATTTGAATTTTTGAAGCAGAAAAGGGAGAGAGAGAGAGGGAGAGAGGAGTAAACAAGTAAAAAAAAAGGAAATTTCGAAAATTACAATGTTTAAAGAGTTGGATGTTCACTTGCTTCAGATGTGTTCATTTTTTTCATGGCGTACGTGAGGAACGTGTAAAAGCCTGTCCACATAACGTATGGTACTAATAATAAGCCAGCGTTGTGATCAATCTGTAAAATAATTTTCAAAAATCTGAAATAATCCCTATAAAAATTATGGAATTTTTAATGTGTAATAATTTTGCTTTTTTTTTATGATAAAAAATTGAACTTTGGTCGAACCCGTCTTAAGTTCATCAAATAGTTAAATTCTTGCGTTATTTAAGCTGATCAAATAAATTGAGAAAATATTTTTTTCACAAAAAAAGTTAAATATCTCTTAGTGAATTATTTGTAGTTTGTAGCAGTGAATTGTTGTTTTTTTTTGTTGTAGCAGGATTATTCATTCATTTTTATTTTATTTTTCAATATTATTATAACTTCTGAACAAGTTTAAACATTTCGATTAGCATGCTAATTTAATTGCTATGCTAATTAAAACTTATCAGATGGTAACGAATATGTCTTTTTCCTTTTGTTCAATTCTGTTCATTTTAGAAATTCAGCAAAATAAAACAAAATATACCTTAAAGAATGTAAGTGCTGCTCCAGCTGCAGTCAAATGCATTATAAGCGTGTTACGGAATAACTGAAACAATGCAACAAATTCAAGTTGGAAATTGAAAACGCAATATTTGAAATCAAATATAATATTTAACAGAAAATATTAAATTTCAACAACAAGTAAAAGTTGCATTTATGCAAAAGGTAAATTTTTTTTTTTTACACAATGTGTAATTCATACCTATGATTTGGTATCTGTGCATTAATTGAAATTGAAAATGAAAATTAATTAAAACTGAAAATGTAAAATGTAATGAAAATATCTGATAAAAAAGTTAATTAATCTAACGATATTACTGAGTGGCGTTTAAAAAATAAAACTTACACAACGACAATTCTTTCTTATCACCAATGGCATTGTAAGAAATGCACAAATCATACTACTACCATATAATGCCAATGCTAACTTTGTATCATGATGTGCAAGACCTTTGAAATTCGAAATAGAAAATAACTAAATTTGAAACAAATAAACAAATAAAGACTTGAATTTTTTGTTTTTTTTACACAAGATTTCAAATTTTTTATATAAGATTTTTTTATATAAGACTTCGAATTTTCTATATAAGATTTCAAATTTTTTTATTTGATATTTTATATCGCAAAGTTTTCATTTTTTTCAGTTATCATCTTCAATTAACAATATAAATTTAACAGGCCAAGAAGTCTTGAATTAGTTGCTATTATTTAATTACCTATTTCATGGAAGAAAAAGTGTAATTTTCAGATTACTTTTCAGACTTCCGATTACTGATAACTTAAAGATTACTTTTAGATTAAAATGGAATTTTGTCTACTTTCATTCAGACTAGATTGAAAAATATCTGGCTTGTAGCTATCAGCAATTAATTTGGCTTGCTCGTGATTATTCTTACCACTATTGCAAAAAAGAAAAAAAGTATTATTTAACAAGTTTCTATTTTAATATGAATGAATTCTTAATAATATATTATCTGTAAATGAAACTCTTAAAAATACTTCAATCCGAAAGATTGAGAGGAAAAAAAAATAGAAAAAAAATAAACAAAACCTCCGCCATACTTATATGCCATATATGACGCCCAACCGACGGGCGCAATTGTCACGACATCGAGTAAACCATAAATTGCCGGATTTTCCGGTGCCCAATTTGGTTTATTTAATGCCTTAATTGATATGCTATAAATCATTTATTTTGCTATGTATATTTTCCATTTCGATTTTTTGCTTGTCTCTTTTAATTACAACAAAAAAAAGGAAAAAGGGAAAAGAGATGTATTCTTCCATTTCTTATAATAAATAAGAGATCGAAAGGAAAGATAATAATGAAGGAAAAAAAAAGAAATTGAAATAAAAAAAACTTTGGAATAACTATTTAAAGAATAAATTTTACATTTTCGTCATATCTTTTCTTTATGCTTTCATTAAAATATTCATAAAAAGACGTCACATTCGTGTGACACGTATAATCATTTTGTCAAGTTTGTTTATTTCCGCTGTTTAATTTTTCTTTTTTTTTTGTTCTTTTTTCTTTGCCAAAATTTATTTTATGCAATAATTAGAAAAACATACAAACCACCAATCGAACAAATTTTTTTCCTTCCTAAATGATGCTGCGACATATGACGATAATGCACCTGGTACCAGTGAAAATAGAACGGCACGTTTTGTGTCACTGGATGTCCAAATTGAATTCATGCTAACATGTTTTGTACCATATCCAAAAGTTGGAGCATCTAGTGCATAAATGAAAAAAAAAAGAATTACAAATTAAATGTAAATAAAATAGGTGGTTAGAAATTTGCATTGAAAAAAGAAAATTTTTTTCTGTAACTTACATTTTCATGTTTTAAAAATATGATGCAAAATTTAAAAAAATTTTCTTTAAAAAGTTTACAAAAACTACAACGATAATTACAAAATATTTTTGAGTTGTTTCCTCGAAATTAAATTTACAAAAAAAAAAAGGACAAAATAAATGAAAGCAATTCAAAGTATTCAAAATAGAAATATGCCTAATTCATTTTATATAATGATAACTAGTCAAATGATTATCACGAAATCTCAGCAAAAGATTTAAAACTTAAATTAATGGTTTAAATTATAACTTACATCTTCATTTCCATATATAAAATCCATTTTTCTTTTCATTTTTTTTTTTTTTTGAAAATATGTTACAAAATTCAAATGAAAATTCGTGAGAAATCTCGTGAAATTATTAAAAAGTTTTTAAATAGCTTACCACGTACAATATCATTATAACGATAGGTGAACAGTGATTCGGCCATTGTTGTAAATCGGATGATGAAAGGAATCTAAAGTGAAAGAGAAATTTTTTTCTTTTTCATTTAAAAAAGTAAAAAGATGAAATGCGCAACGCATATTTAAACGTTTCACGTCTTTTACATGCGGAATGAAAAGTGAATGAAAAAGACTGAAATGCTTTGCCGCATAGGATAATGTCATAAAACTTCCGGATTAATATGTCGGTTGGGATAAAAAATTTAATCGTAAATGAATGTACTCAATTAAGCTTATTAAGCTCTAAAGTTCAAATACGATACAGTACAATTTATCGTTGTAACAAGTTAATATTTATCATAATAATAACAGATCTTGGCAAAATTTGCTTTAACCGAACAACTAACTGCTCTATAAAGTTAATGTCACCATCTCATTGATTTAGACAACGCGGTAAATTATTCAGTGGTTTCGAAGTTTCATTTAAAAACTGGACAAAAATTAAGTTCTAATCACAAAATATAAGAAACACTCAAGGAATAATAATAGGAATAACTGTCTTAAAAAAAGAAAAAAAACTGCTCATTAAATTAGGATCTGGATGAATCAATAATACAAACCATGTTAATAATATTATAACTATAAATATTTTGATAATAACTCATAATAAATAATTGATAATAATAATAATAGTAATAATGATAATAATAATAATAATAATAATAATAATAATAATAATAATAATAATAATAATAATAATAATAATAATAATAATAATAATAATAATAATAATAATAATAATAAT